ATCACTAAGCTCATTCTCACTTGCGATTCAAATAAGATTGGAGGATCTGTCACTAGGGATTGTTCTGTTAGACTGGAAAGGGACAGTGTCCCCACGGTGTCAATGCAGCCACTTCCCTGCAAAATGCCTCGTTTTTTACACTAGGAAAAAAAGATGACTTTTTTTTTGAAAAACCTCTTAATTACTTTGGTTTTCTATATTATTCTACCTATGAGTGTGCGACTCTGGAGTCCTGCAATTGCCATTAGACTCATTCCTCCAGCAGGCTACATGTGCTAATGAAGGAGGGAAAAAAACTCTAATTATAATTCTCTAAATAGCTGTTTATTAATGAGTCATCTTTTTCTTTTTAACCTTGTAAGCTGCTTTGCTGGTTGCATCAGGCGGAATACACATTTTGCTTTATAAAACATCAAAAATAAATCTTTAAAGAGGAGGCAAAGTAACACCTTAAGTGCAATGTTGGTATGCAAATCAGTTTACATATTTCAAAATCGCTCCATAATTCTTAATCAGGAAAGAGAGTTACACAGTTTCATTTTCTTTGCACTGCTTTGCATCTAATGCCAGCATTTACTGAACATTGTTCCCTGGTTACCTATAGTATCCTGAGCTACTAATCCGAAGTGCAACTGTATTTTCAATGTAAATTTTAAGTACAGTACAGAATTAGAGTTGTTCTTTCATCATAGAAAAGGCAAGGAAAATAGTCACTTATTTGTTCCTTCTGCCTAAGTGAGCCTAGATGCTAGAAGCAGGAAAAAAGAATGGAATGGATTTATTTCACTTTTTAATATTCTTTGGATTGTATTTTTGTATTTCCCATAGTTCATCAAGGCATCAATTGTCCCTGAGTACAACTGCAGACATAGAAACTGACATTTTGCCCTCCAAAGCTAATTTGGCAACTGCCAATTCCAATTCAGTTCTAAAATGAGTTCCAGGGGTCACGTTAAGGTGGTGGTTCACAGGAAGGGGGTGATTTTGAGAAGGTTAGCCCTGACCGAGAGCACACTAGGAGCTTGGGGACATGCTGAATCGGACATAATTCCCAACTCAGTTCTGCAGCTATTGCAACATCTAAGGACCTACTTCACACAAGATCATTTAATGTGGACCAAATCTTCCAAGATTAAAAAAAAACACCTGTAAGCTTTCAATTTTTTAACAATTAAATTATACTAAATGTAAAGCTATGGGATACTTAATTCAAACACATTCTTATATTTTTACCTAGCTCTGTAACAATAAAGGTACAAAAGTATAGTGTTTAAATTTGGGGCATAGAATAAAATTTCCTGTTCTACAACGATCCCTGTAAACTGGGATTTAGATACAAATGAGGCTGGCAATTGCTTAGGCCATGTTTATATCTGCTTTATTCTTATTTCCAGCAGCATACTGCCTTAGAATATCAATCTCTGTACTTCTACTTTTCATACTTATATTTTGCAAACTTTCCCTAGTGAGTCAGTGACATCTTCACTACCTCAAGGAGAATTACCACTGCTTTAGTAGGAAGGCAAAAGAAAGAAATGTTTAGTGCTTAATATTTTGACTTCCAAGAGATGCTCAAAGTCCACATCAGAAATACTAGCTTTGACTAATTGCCCATAAGTAGATTAGTAGATTAAAACAAACAAACAACTGGTACATATATACATTGGAATACTACTCAACAGTAGCAAAAAAGGAAATCTTATCTTCTGCAATAGCATTTGATAGACCTGGAGAGTATTATATTAAGCGAAATAAGCCAGTCAGAGAAAGACAAGTACCATATGATTGCACATATATGTGAAATCTAATGAACAAAAGAAACTAATAAACAAAATATAAACAGACTCATAAAGAGAATAGAATGATAGCTGTTGGGGGTGGAGGGGCGGACGCCATTGGGGCCTGGGTGAAAAGAGTGAAGGGATTAAGCAAAACCAATAAATAAACAAAACAAAATTCATAGACACAGGCCACATTATGGTGATTACCAGAGGGAAAGGGGCTGAGGGTAGGTCGAGGAGGGTATAAAGGGGATAAATAGTGATGGAAGGAGACTTGAATTTGAATGGTGAACACATAATGCAATATACAGGTGATGCATTATAAAATTGTACATCTGAAACGTATATAATTGTATTAATCAATGTCAGCACAGTCAATTAAAAGAAAAAAATTTAGTGGTTTCCCTAAAGTTTGCAATTAACATTTATAAGTAATCCAAGTTCATTTTCAATGAGTACTATACTACCGCATGTACTGTGTGTTTCCTATATTAACAAAGTAATTCTAATTTCTCCCTTTAATCCCTTATATCATTGCTGTTATTTACAATATTTTAGTTATATATAAGCCTACACAAGTATATCTATGCATATACATGTATGCATATTTATATGCATGCACATATATGTATGTAAATATATATATATATATATATATATACACACACATATATATAAAAGCATGCATAATGTGTTACATTGTTGCTATGATTATTTTGAACAGATTTATCTGTTAGATCAATTAAATGCTATGGGGATACTAATTAAAATTTATCTATTGATATTTTAAGAATAATCATTGATTTACACACAGATTTTCTGATGAAGGAAATACATGTGCAATACAGCCATGGGTACAGAGAAAACTGAAGATCAAACAGGTCAGTGTGGTGTACCATATTTTTGTAATTAAGCCATTCCATTACTGAATGTACACACTGGGTGGGTTAATGACTGTAATCTGTTTTGCTCATTAGTAAAGGGAAAATAGTTTAGGGAAAAACACAAATAGAAGAGACATGCAAAATGACCCCGCAACATTCTAAACTCCAGTAGATAACTAAAGATTGCTTTAACAACCTTGCCAATATTCACTGTGTGAAGGAATTGTGATTTACAAAGTATTTTATGAAAGTAAACACACTTCTCTCACATATATAGGACCATAGAATGTCCTCCCTGATTCAAATGCCCAGTATTTCTCCCTCAGCCACAAACGAACAGACCCATTTGTATGGTCAAACTATTTTATATATGGTGGGTTGAGAAAAGATTGTTTATACTCTGTAATCTAAGCATTGTCAGCAATTTCAGAAGTCCCATTTTTGAGTTTTCATATATCTGTACATTTTTCAATCATCGTTGCTTCCTCCTGTCACTGCATTGCTTGAAGGATGTGAGGCAGTTACAGAAGCTAAAGAATTAAATGGCATATACACTCCTTTTTCAAACCCTTTGGGGAGGAAGGGGACGAAAAGCCTGGTGCAGGTAACTATTATAACTTTGCCCTTTATGGTTTTCTTTTAGAGTATTTGTTAAAAATATTAAATTTTCATATGCTCTGCAGAGCCTAGCCTGGTTTATAAGATGAAAAGAAAAGAAATGGTATTAACTGCTGCACTGCCAACTGATAGTCATTACCTGCCTGTGTGCATTAGAAGAATTCTTAGTCATTTGGGTTGCAACTGTCTTGAACTGTAATGTTCCAGGATGTACCCTTGCTGGGGTTTCCATGCCCATGTCCAAGGCCTGAAAATCACAAGCTTTATTTTGAGCCTGCAGTTAGCACATGGAGCAGTGAACACATTAGAGAATATTTGTGCAGCCTGTTTGGCTCAAATCTCCTCTTTCTCTCTCTCTCCTTTTACTAGTATATTAAACAAACTGGTCTGCTAGATTATTTTACACAGCTAATATGCCTGAATAAATGCCTTCCAATTTTAAGGTGATTATTTAAAATTAAAAGTATCATTAAGAGTCATTCTAGTGTGGACTTCCTTCGAATAAAGTGGATTATAAAACAGCGGGATGTACATTGGGTAAGGAATTCAAATCCTTGCGAAGTGTGTATTGCTTTTCTGACATGGACACACAGCAGTCCTGGCTGGGTCCTTCCAAGAGCTACCTGAACAAGCCCTTTTCATTGGTCACATCATCTTCAGGAAGGACTGCCTGCTTCCCAGAATGTGGAGGACCATGCACTACAGGATCATAGAAATGCCTCTGTCAAGTCAGATAAGCATCCTTGCAAATGCACAGAGCACTTTGAAAAACTCCTGTATGGCAGATTATAAATGTGTATTACTACTAACCCCATCACTCAACCCCCAAAATATATAGCTCTGCCAACGTAATTCCTGGTGACTTTATAGCTCAGTTATTTTGCCTTTTAAAGCAGGTTATCATCTCTGGGGTTTTAAAATGTCAATGTCTCTGCAGGGTCTTTCTGTTCTAAACAGGGATAGGTAGAAGAATATTTTACCATCTGTCTTTTAAAGTTAATATTAAGAAATGCAGGTTTGCAACCTCTTAAGCATCTCAAGCCAGATACGCTACTTCCCTGAATGGATTATTTGACTTACCTTGTGTTAACTGCATTCCGAAAGAAGGATGCTGGTCTTAGAGATTTAAAAACTACATCATTTCAATAGTAAAGGCATTTGTGTTAGAAATATAAAGTTAGTCCACATGCTCAAAAACAAGTATACATATACCTACGAACAGCGCAAAAAAAAAAAAAAAAACTAATGAAAAAAGCAAGTATTATAAGTCTTTCATAGACTATTTTAGAATAAAGTGTTTAATTTTTAATCTAAATAATAAATTATATACCTCTGGTAACAATTGTACTCAATTAAAACCCATTAATTGTTCAAATCATTTCATTGTTATTTGGGCCCAGTCAGGAAAATCTTTAGCAGAGCAATAAGCAAACTAGGAGACTTAATCTTCAAGATTCCCTCATCAGTCAACGTTTTAAAAGTCTACAGCACGGTCACTATAATAATCAATATTTCACATTAGTTTTGCTTAAAAATAAAAATACATTTTGTGACACACTAAAGCATATCTTCTATGGTAGAAATGCAGAGTTATATATGAGGACACCTTTCAATTTACCTTCATTCTAGGTGCATCTAAGTGCCAAGAGCAGGGCGAGACTCTGCCTTACTTAGGAAGAGACTTAGTAACACGTTATTGATGACTCAGGCAAATTACCTTTGAGAGGTCCCCAGCCTCCAAATAGAAGCAGATAACAAACACATTCCACGTAACCCAGAGGACTAGCCAGACAGCATACTGTGGAAAAGCAAGAGAGAAATACCATATAATTAATTTTGAATCAGCTGAATAAGATTTAAATAGAACTTGAACTTTTGTACGCAAATCATAAGATTAGTGGGGAATATTAGATATTGCTTCTTTCTAGGGAACAGGATAGGATGCACATTTATCTCTGTTGATATGTTTCTCACTGTTATGGACTCTAGTATTCTAGCCCAAACTTGCTTAAGAATAATTTTTGAGTTAAGACAAAAGAAATACTAGCCCACGTTCTGTTTTAAGGGACAGTGATTATGACTTCTAGATATACAAAGAATTGGAAGCTCCAAAGAAATATTAAATACAACCCATCAAAGGGAACTCATTTTTTTTTTGACAAAAATCAAACCATTATAATACAAATTTTCTCCAAATTATATGGGTTCGTCCACAAATAGTCCTTCTATTTCTGTCCCATCTAATCAGCTTTCTCTTTCTGAGGTCTTCTTTTCATTTCCCTTTTTACCTTCTTATTTTATCCTCTCACAATCTGCTGTTACAGTGATCATGTAGCTATTACCCTTAATTTTATTCTGTTTTCTATTTATTTTGTCTTCTTCCCTGAGGATTTTTATTTTATTTATTTATTTATTTTTTTTACCAAGACATAGTTCTGATAAGTCAGTCAACTATAATTGTTTAAGCATCTAGAAAATAACATGCTGGAAAGATATTGAGGAATCAAAGACCAATGATAAATTCTCCTTGAAAGCAAGTCAAGTGGTGAGGGTAGAATTATATAAAATCATTAAAATAATCTGAGTATAATCAAGGAAGATGGGAGAAGTGTGAGCTTAGTCTGAGAAAAACTAGTCCTATAAAGCTTAACATGAGAGGTGAAACACTTTCCATAAAAAGTGAATCAAACAAACATATAAACTTTATCCAAAATAGTGGGGAGTTGAAGGACTCTGGGGGAAGGGTGCTATAAACAAAGAAAATAGTGGATGGGAATTTTAAAAAGTGGGATGAGAGGATTTCAATTTCTCTGATAAGTAAACACCAATGGTTCCCATTATTTATATAATGAGTTCTGAAATCATTATTTTATCATTCAAGGACCTCCATAATCTTGTACCCTGTTATATTAATATTTTCCAGATGCATTTCATTTAATCTTTCATGATGGATTTCAAACATCGTGAATTACTTGCAATTCCATGTACATAGGTAGTTATTTGCCACCTCTGTGCCTTTTTAAATGTTATTCTTTTATTTTCCAATACTTTTTTCTTTATCCCTTGGGTATTCCTCTTACCACCTATCAATATTTTATTTTTCTTTAAAGGTCAATTTAAATATTACCTCCTAAATGATATCTAATTGGTATTGGCTTAATCCTGTTTAGGGCTCTAGTAAGACCTTGCTTGTCCTAATTTCATTCCAAATGTCTTATATCAATTTGCATATGCTCCTTGAGAATATGGTTCATTTAAAATTTGTTTATGTCTTTAATTTGTTAACTTAGTGTTTTACACAAAATAAGCACTAATAAAATATTTTGTAAATTGATGGATGAGCAGCAATATGGAAAAAATCTTGGCATTTTCAGTTGTATAACCTCTTTTCCCCTCCTAGACCTGGTTTCGATGAGTGAACTATGATCACTCACGTAGTGTGAAGACTAAGATCCCTATATAATGAGTGGATGTAACACATAAAAATGACTCAGCTGTTTTCCAAATGATGGGTTCATCAAACTGCTGGCCAGGTGCAATGTTAGTGACACTAAAGTAAGGGTGAAACTAAATGGTCTAAGAAAAAAAAAAAAAGAAAAAAAGAAAAAAAAGAACTGGAGAGGCTGTTTGACTTGAGGGCTCAGGGCTAGAAATAGGCAAAGAAGCTGAGCTGTCTGCAGCAAAGATCTCAGTTCTAGCAGACAGCTATGGAAACATCTAAGTTTGCTTAGTACTGGGAAGTGTGAATTCTCTCATTAAAAAAAACACACACAACTAAAATCTAAATTATTCAACTGCTTTGAAGATCTAAATTTTAGTTTTAGAAATATGGTGAAATGCTGGGTCCTATTTTAAGGGTAACAGGGTGAGAAAAAAATAAAAAGTGCCTGGGGGTTCCTGTGCCTTGGTTTAAGTGACTCAGAAAAAAAAAAAAATCAAAGAATGAACAAAGTGTTTCATCATGTCCTTTGCTCATGGTGACACCCTCTCCCTCCCTTACTAATAATGGTCAGTAAAATAAGCACTATCTTCAAACTTTACTTAGGATGCAAAACAAAAACACTTTCTACATAAACTTAGAACTTTCTTCCACTAATTGAACTTGCAGTCTAGACTTGTTTTCTTTGTTTCCCTAATGCAACATGTTCTTCTCTGGAGAATAAGTTTGCTTTTTTGAAACCTGCATGACAAAAGTGACAGATGGTGTTTTATAAAGCAAACATTTCTCCATTTGATTTCATTAAGTGGTAATTTGTTATTTCTAATTTGCCATGCTATAAAATTATAAAACATTTTTTTTCTATATTGTATTTCCTGAGTTGCTCTTTTATAGTGTTAATTAGTAATGCTGTGTTCTTTCCCCCCCCTCAAATCACACTATTTAAAATTATTGATTTTTAGAGAGAGAGAAAGAGAAATATTGATTGATGTCCCACTTATTTATGTATTCGTTGGCTCCCTATAGTATGTGCCCTGATGAGGCATTGAATCTGAAACCTGAGCACATCAGAACACGAACCAACTGAACTATCCAGCCAGCACTCTTGTTCTTTTTTTTATTCCTTTCTGATCACAGTCATCCAAAAAGGTATTTTCATTTGATTGCCTTTATTATAAACCAGTTAGTTCACCTGCACTCTTTTTCATTAAAGGTTTATTTACAGAATTGTCACCTTTAGTGATGTGGCAATTTTAATAAACAGAGGAACTCACATTGCTACAGAGGGTGATCTTCCATTTGCACCATCATCCAAAGACAGGCCTTTATCTAATTTCCTTGTATCTCATTTATCTTAACTCATCAACTTTCTCTCATTTAACTTCTTAAACAGTCTTCCTTCATTCTCCTCTTTTTTTTTTTTTTGAAAAAGAAAATTCTCTTTTGTGCTTACTTTCCTCATTTTAAGAACTGGCATTTATCTAAATCAAATCTCCTCTAACTGGATTTTACATAATTCTTTAATAGTGAAGATTGTGTGTTCCCTTGTCATTTGGCCAAAGAATGATTTTTGTCAATAAATCCTATGGTTCACATTGTTTAAAATATTACTCATCATAATTATTTAAGGGTGTAAAAATGTGTACTAACTTCTTTCCAGTTGCTACAGTGAGTTGATGTGATATAATTGACAATTGCTCAGTTTGAATGTAATTGAAAATGATGTACTGCCCAGGAGATGGCCTAACAAGATAACAAAGTCTCAAGCTTGCCAGATAGCACCTGACTTATAGTTTCTGCTACAATTTTTCTTTATCCTCATCTTTTCTGGCAAAAAAAAAATCTTATATTTTATGTTTAAGGTACCAATTATGATATCTGTAATGATGGACAAATTCCATCAAGATAAAACTCATTCTGTAAGCTTTGAATTCTGCAGGTCTAAGAGGACCATTTGAGAGATGGATTTGACTTGAGTCTCCAGCTAAATAGTCAACATTATCAACTGAAGAAAAAAAAACAAAAAACACCGTAATTGAATCATCATGGGTTCCATATTGTATTTGGGGCTGTAATGATGAAATCTAATTAGCTGTGCATGATTAAAATTAGATAAGGCTGTCAATCATGATAGGTCAAAATACTGGCCAGATCCAGGGCCACAGTGAAATTGCATGTTGTGCTTCTATAATAACTAGGATGATAGTAACTCAGACAAAAGGCCAATAAACATCTGCCTGGAAAATAATGAATCACACCTTAAGAGCACTGCCAGTGTTTCTACTTCTTTCTCTTACAATAAATCTTCCTAAAATGGAAGTCTATATATATATTTTTTTAATTTTAAAGAATAGATGACATAGACAAAGCTGATGAACATCAGTTTTTCAGGTTTTCATAGACAGACACAAATTTTCATTTTTATTTGAATTACATTCAAGTCATAAATTAACTTGGGGGGAAACTCCAAACTCAATGGCATTGTATTAACAAAGTAATTTCTTGTGGGAAAATTCTGGTAAAAGGGAAGCTAACATTTTGTTTGTTTGTTTGTTTTGTTTTTAAAAAATATATATTTTATTGATTTTTTTACAGAGAGGAAGAGAGAAATAGAGAATTAGAAACATCGATGAGTCATCGATCAGCTGCTCTTGCACGCCCCCTACTGGTGATTGATGTGCCCGCAACCAAGGTACATGCCCTTGACTGGAATTGAACCTGGGACCCTTCAGTCCTCAGGCTGACACTTTATCCACTGAGCCAAACCGGTTTCAGCAAGGGAAGCTAACATTTAAGACAAGTGATTTTTCCTATGTTTTTCACTATTCACAATGATTCTAAAAGCAATTTCGGGGGGAAAAAACAAGTGATCTAAGTCATTTTAGTGAATTATTCTTAAAAACAACCATAATTTAGAAAACCATTATTCAATCATATTACCATAATTATTAGAAAATGAAACACTGGCCACAGGATTCCATAAGTGCTTAATTAGAAAAGAGATGGGCCAGTGAATCATTTTACATTTATTAATCACCAGCAGGAAGCAAGTGACTATGACAGATGCTGCAGAAAAAACATTACAGGGTATATCTATTCCCTAAAATGATTTATATTAATCATTAATATGCAATCAATGCAATGTATTGAAATGTGTTCAGGTGTGATTTTTTAACTAGGGAGCAATATCATTGATATACCTCTAATTTAAAAAATAATGTAATCAGTTTTAATGAACTGTGATAGAAGCATTCCTAAGAAGCATTGGATTAGCAAATCATGTCTTAAAACAACTTCTTGAAGCAACAGTTTAAGTGATTAACAATCAGGTGTTTTAATATTAACAATAGAGGTATTTT